TGTGTAGCTGCAAGAGAGAGAGAGAGAGAGAGGGAGAGAGAGAGAGAGAGAGAGAGAGAGAATCTCTCAATAGAGCCTAGTTGCACTGCCGTCCCCTTTCCTCCATTTCTCTATCCTGCCAGGATTTGGAACACGCACACGTATGTGCCTAGCATGTTTTCTCAAGCCACCGGGGGCCAGGAATTGAACCACAGTCAGCCATGTGGTATTCGGCTCTCTATGCAGTAACTACTGTGCTATGGGGCTGGTCACTTCCTGACTAGTTTTTACTAGGGTTTAATTTGTCTTCATCTTTCCAGTTGTGTTTTCTGCACTACTCATTTTTGATTTCACTTATATTTCTCCTTTTATTTCTCTTTGCCACTTTTGCTTTCTTTCTGATTATTCTTTCCAAAGTATTTCTCATTTTGTCTATTTTTGGCCCACTGCAAGGGGATATTTCCTGAACAGATCTATAGTATGTTATAGTCAGGAAAACCTTTAAGATCAATTCATCTCACTCTCATTATTTAAAAGAGAAATGGAGACCTTGATAAATAATTTGCCTTGAGTCTTAGAGCGCACCTGCTAAAGCTGGTGAACCCTGGCTCCTAAACAGGTAGAACTCTGACTCCTAATTCTCTAGTCCAGACCAGACCCCATTCTACCATGGTTCTCTGGCAGTTTGTTTTGATTCTGCTTAGGATTTGGGCATGTTGCTTATATGTCCTTTTTCTATATTATATTAGTGTTGATTCTCTTAAGTATGTATTTCCCAATGCAAAAATGAAAAGGTGATTTTCTTGGTCCTGTGGAATATGATACCAGCTTATGAGGTTGGAGATGGTGTCATTCATAATAAGCTTCCCTTCTTTCTAAAGCCCTTTGTTACTCCCCCCAGGCATCCCTTAGGGGAGGGCCTTCGCATATAGGCTGTAACTTTAAGCAGCTAGTACTAGGTGCCAGGGCTTCCACTGTTACAGAGAGACAGACCCTGAGCCCAGAGGCTCACTTTGTATCTAGAGGAGAAAACAGACAAGTAATTCCAGTGCCACTTGTTAGTGCCACTATAGAGATTTTCAGGGTATATGGACACAAAGGAAGAGTAAATCAGGCTAGGAAGTCAGAGAACATTTCCTAGAGAAGATGATGCAGGAGCTGAGTCTTAAGGGATGTCAGTAACTAGCCAAGGTAAGAAGAAAGGAAAGACTGGGCACTGTAATGTCACGGGAGGTGGGTAGGGTTTGGTCTTTGCTGTTTTGGGTGAGATGGACTGGAGAGGTAAGCAGGGGCCTGGTCACAGAAGTCTGTCTAAGGAGCCTGGTCTGTGCCTTAGAGGCAGAGGGGAGTCACTCAAGTGTTAAAAGCAGCCATGCACTTTAGATAAGTCATTAGGAAAGACGTTAAAGGAAGAAGGTCCTTATATGTGCAGAGTCATAAGGATACTGGGCACTGTAATGTCACGGGAGGGGGGTAGGGTTTGGTCTTTGCTGTTTTGGGTGAGATGGACTGGAGAGGTAAGCAGGGGCCTGGTCACAGAAGTCTGTCTAAGGAGCCTGGTCTGTGCCTTAGAGGCAGAGGGGAGTCACTCAAGTGTTAAAAGCAGCCATGCACTTTAGATAAGTCATTATGGCAGTGATATATGAAGTACTGGAAAGAGACAAGTTTGGAAGTAGACCAGTAGCTCTAGGAAAGGTGCTGCAGGTCTGAACTGTGACAGTGATAGTGAGGGTGGGGAAGTGAGGCAGTGGTGAGGGGATAAATGGCAGGACCTGGTGGCTGATTTGGGGAGAAGAGAGGAAGATACCCGGAATTTGGCAACAAGGAGTAGCACTGATGACCTACAAGAACTAGCTTTAGGGCACAGTGAAGCAAAACCATTTCTAATGTATTCAGGGATGGAAAGTGAGGGGTGGAGACAGGTGTAGAGAAGAGACTGAGGGGATTTGTAGGAATTAGAAGGGATTAGAGGTCCACTCACTTCCTCTTTGATTCTCATCCCTCTCTTGGCTTCTGTGACACCTTACTCCTGGTTCTTTTTTATAAGGTCATGAGCCCCTCTTCTTCCGGGCATCCCTTAATTGGCACCATCCATACACGACCCTTAGCTGTTCTCACTCCACGTATTTGCTCTCTCTGGCTGAATCTTACCTAGTCACACTTACAAGCCACCACCTCTGTGTACGTGATTGTGAGAACTCTATTCCCAGGTCAGTCTGGTGTCTCCAGCTGTGTGCCGGATTTCTCTATGATGCGCATGTGAGGTAGCTCAAGTGCAGTATGTGCAAAACTGAGCTCGTTCACTCCCCTGCTCCAATCCCACTCCTACCCCAGTGCTCTCTGTCCTGGTTAGTGGCAACCTCTTTTCACCTAGTCACTCCCGTTATTAACCTGCGAGGCAGACTTCCCTCTTCCTCCCTCGTCCGTATGTACCTAATCAATCACTAAATCCTACCAATTGTGCCCTCTATGTTTTCTTTTTCCCTTGATCATTGCCTTTGTCATTTGTTGCCTGGACCAGCATAGTGACTCTTGTGCCTCAGATCTCTGCCTCTGCTTTAAGCTTGTCCTTTTTGGGTAGAAGTTTAGGGTTTTTACTGTGGCCTACACAGCTCGCTCTGATTGGCTCTGCCTGCCTTTCCAGCATGGACTCGTGTCGCTTCCTCTGTCGTGCTGTAGGTTCCAGCTGTACCATTTGGCTTGGTCCCTGGCACATACCAGGCTGCTTCTCATGTCTGTGCCTTTGCTCTCATTGCTCATGCTGCACTGTGCTCTGAAATGACCTCCTGACCCTGGCCTCTCCCCATCCAGCCCTCTGGTTAAGGCATCTATTTTCAGAATTAGCTTAGACATCACTCCCACACCACCTTTCCTGGACCTTCTTGTCCATCCCTTATGCTATCTTTTTACCATGTGTCCCCTAAGCTGAGTAAGATCCATTCCTTTTCCATGATAACCTCATGCATGTTTTGACCACAGTTTGTACTTTTTATGTATTTGTTTAATGTTTATCTCCTCTACTAGTCTGTGGGTTCATCAGGACAGGTACTATGTTATACTCCTTTTTAAACAGTGCCTGCTGCAGTGCCTCGTATGTAATATGAATTCATTGAATGTTTAATGAATGGATCAAATACAAGATGTGGGCATCAGCTGAGAGTGAATTGGGCCTTGAGAGAACAGTGCAGGTTTGAAATAGTTGTCAGAGTAGAAGGGTCTGAGTAAGGATTAAGAAGAGGATGAAGTATGTGATCTATCCCTCTGATTCTATTGCATATGCCTGAAATATCTTCACCCACCTTACTTACCTCCCTGCTCAACGATACATTGTGAACTGCTCTCTTTCCTGTAAACGAACGTCCAGTTCCAGTTCCGGTTCCGGCTGATGAGTGTGTCTCTTTTGATTGCAGATCCAATGGGTTTGAACAGAAGCGCTTTGCCAGGCTGGCCAGCAAGAAGGCAGTGGAAGAACTTGCCTACAAGTGGAGTGTTGAGGATATGTAACTTTCCAGGGACTTTGAGGTGGCTCTGAGTGGTGGTAGTGGGCGCAGGGCAGCCAGGCACCCAGCCCTTAAAACCGTCTGTGCTAGTAGTCAGGGCCCACACAGACCAGCAGTTTGTTGAGTGCCAGTTTTACCACCGAAGACTGTTCGAGACCTGATCTTTGGACTGAGGGACCTGTACTTCTCGGGTGTGCCTACACTGGATGTTGCTGGTTTTCGGAGGAAATGCTGATTTCTCGAGAGTCCTGGGGTTTGTTCTTGTTCAGGATTTTTCTTTTTTTAATAAACATACATTTATTTTTTTAAAACTATTTTCTGAACTTGGTATTCTGTTTTGGGGAAGAATACAAGCTAATATTGAACCCCTTAGGCTCTTGGGGTGATGATTGGAATTTTCATTATTCTAGAAAGCGATGTGAGTGAAAACTTTCTTGGTAATAGATCTTCCTCTGAGGGAACAAAAGTTAGCAGTAAACCATATTCAAGAATAGTCAGACACACAGCTATCTGGAGATGTGGTATGTGATAAAAGTAGCATTACAAATTAGTAGGGAAGAGGTGAATAAAGGTGCTCAGAAGATTGGCTTATATGAACAATAATAAAATCCAGTCCCTATCTCATACCATATTAAACAAAAAATCAAACAGATCTCAAAGTGGTTGAAGACCTGAATGAAAGTAACATGATAAAACTAGCAGGAACAAGTGACAAGTATCTTTGTGGCTTTAGGGTGAAGATAGATTTCTTAAATTAGATTCTAAAGCACAACCTATAAGATCTGATAGTGTTGACTACTTTATAGTTAAAGATTTCTATACTGGAAAGCATCCCATAGTCAAAGTTAAGGATGGGTGTAGATTAGGAGAAAATATTTGCAATGTGCAAAAGTGACAAGAGATTGCATATATAACAGATTGGCTATACACATAACTCTGAAGGGCCAGCAGGTGGTGTGGAGGTTAAGGCTCTGGATTCCCATTTGGCTGACTATGGTTTGAGTCCTGGACCCAGTAGCTTGAAAATCACACTGAGCACATGCGTGAGCTTGTCCAAAATCCCGAGAGGAGAATGGAGGAGAAGGGACTGTGTCATGACCATCTCCCATGGGGGGGCGAGGTGATTTCTCACTTCCTCTCTCTGTCACTCTGTTTGTCTCTCTGGTGAGCACACACACTCTATGGCAAAAAAACAACAACAACAAAAAGAAAGAAAAGATTCTTCAAATTAGGAAGAAAAAGACAACACAAATAAAAAAATGTAAAGAATATTAGTAGGTAAAATCAAAAGAAAGCCAGAATGGCTAATCTTACCTCACTAGTAATTGGAAAAACAGAAATAAAAACTCCTGAGTTTTTACTTTACATCTATTAGTTTGGCAAAAATAAGTGAAAGACTGAACTATCGTGGGGAATAAAAACTCATGGGGAATTTAAACTGGTACACCATTCTGGAGAACACTTACTGAAATCGAGTAATATCTGAACACAATATTGCAATATTTTTTGGAGACGTTTTTGCTATAGGGCAAACAGAGAGAGCCAGAGAGACAGAAAGTAGAAATCACTCCCCAGGGGAGATGGCCACACCACAATCCCTTCTCCTCCATTCTCTTCTTAGGATAGTGGGCATGTACGTATACACGCCCAGCATGAGTTTAAGCCACTGGGTCCGGGACTTAAACCGTGGTTGACTACATGGGAGTCCAGCAACATAGCCATTATACCATCTGCTGGTCTCCAGGATTGCAGTTTTAAGTGTATCTTTGGAGCTGTACTGCCTGAATTTGAATCCCAACTCTATCTTTTGCTAGCTGGGTGACCTTGATAAGCTTAGTTTAGTTTCTTCTATCTGTGAAACAGAGATAATAGTACCTACCTCTTTTAAAAAAAAAAAGATTTATTTATTTAATTTTATTTGTTATTATATTTTAATTTGATCAGAGAGAGAGAGAAAGGGAAGGTGAGAAAGTAAACCTCTAGGTCCTGGACTCGAATCATGGTCAGCCATGTGGGAGTCCAGCACCCTAACCACCATGCCACCTGCCAGCCCCAGTACCTGCCTCTTAATGTAAGCTTAAAACAGCATCTGGCACATACTAAGTATCACAAAACTACAGGTTGAATGTCCCACCTCTGAAATGCTTGGGACTAGAAGTGTTTCAAATTACGGATTTTTTTTTTTTTGATTTTGGAATATTTGCATATATATGGTGAGCTATCTCAGGTGTTGGGACCCATGTCTAAACATAAAATTCACTGCTGTTGGGACCAGCAGTTAGCGTAATGGCTATGTCGCTGGACTACCATGTAGTTGACCGCAGTTTGTGTCCCGGACCTGGTGGCTTAAAACTCACGCTGGGCGCGTGTGCGTGTGTGTCCAAGATCCCAAGAGAAGAATGGAGGAGAAGGGATTGCGACGTGGCCATCCCCCCTGGGGGGTGATTTCTCGCTTTCTATCTCTCTGTCTCTGTCTGAGTGGTGAGCGCACGCGCCCTATAGCAAAAAACCTCTCAAAAAGAAAATTTCACTGCTGTTTCGTTATACTTTATACACATAGCCTGAAGATTTTTTTTTTTAATAGTACTTCTATATTACAGCATTTTGATTGCAATTTGTCATAGGAGGTCAAGTATGGAATTTTCTACTTTGGGATCATTGGTGCTCAAAAAGTTCAGATTTTGGAGTATTTCATATCAGATTTTGCATTTTCAGATCAGAGATGTCCAACCTGTGGTGGTTGTTACCATTGTCATCATCAGCATCATGAAGTTGGGGGCCAGCTTCCAAGATGGCCCCCAGCAATCCCTGCTGTCTGGTATTCAAGCTTTTTTGTAATCACTGCCTGCAATAAATGGGCTGATTGGTGTAACCAATAGGATGTGCTAGAAATGTGTGACTTCTGAAACTAGGTCATTTGAAGATGCTTCAAGTTAGACATTGAATCACCTACCTTGGACTCTCTTGGATCCCTTCCTCTGGTGAAAGCTGGCCTCCTCTCCAGTGAGCACTCAAGCAGTCTGCTGGAGAGGCCCATGTGGAGCACTGAGGCCTCTCCCCCACAGCCAGCGCCAGCTGCCAACTGTGTGAGTGATCCTTCCACTCTTCTAGCATCCATCTGGGTGCAGCCCTGACTGACAGCTTGACCACAGCCTTATAGGAGGTCCTGAGTCAGAACAACCCAGATCCAAATTCTTGATGCATAGAACCTTGTGATAGCAGATGTTTGGCATTTTTTAAAAACACAACTTTATTGAGATAGAACATTCACACTGGACAACTCACCCAAGTAAAGCATACGATTCAGTGCTTTCTAGTATATCACAGAGCTGTGTGACCATTCCCACAGTTAATTTTAAGACATTTTTATCGTCTCATGGATAGAATTATCCGCACTCTCCACTTTTCTCCCAACTCTCTCAACCCTAGGCAACTGCCGATCTATCAATACTTTCTATCTGAATAGATTTGCCTTTTCTGGACTTTTCATACAGTATGTGAAAGAGACTGTCCTAGAATATGCGGCCTTTTGTCTCTGGCTTCTTCACTTTATGTAATGTTTTCATGGTTCGTTCACATTGTAACGTATCATAGCTGAATAATCCCTTCTGTGTGTGGATATACATACTTTATTTATCCATGTATCAACGTGGACGTCAGACTTTCCACTTTGGGGCTAGAATGCTGCTCTGAATGGTTGGTGTGTATGTGTGCGGCCGCTTGCTTTTGTTTTTCTTGGGTGTATATCTAGGGTTGAGTTGCTGGGTCAGTGTAGCTCCATGTTTAACCTAGAGGAACTGAACAACTTCTTCCAAAGAAGCGTGTGAGAGTTCTGATTTCTCCACCTCCTTGCCAATACTTTTTTTTTTTTTTTGAGAGATTTTCACTGCAGGGCACGTGCGCTCGCCAGACAGACAGAGAGAGACATAGAGACAGAAAGCGAGAAATCACCCCCCAGGGGGAATGGTCACGCCGCAATCCCTTCTCCTCCATTCTCCTCTCGGGATCTTGGGCACGCATGCACACATGCCCGGCGTGAGTTTTAAGCCACTGGGTCCGGTCAGAGATGTCCAACCTGTGGTGGTTGTTACCATTGTCATCATCAGCATCATGAAGTTGGGGGCCAGCTTCCAAGATGGCCCCCAGCAATCCCTGCTGTCTGGTATTCAAGCTTTTTTGTAATCACTGCCTGCAATAAATGGGCTGATTGGTGTAACCAATAGGATGTGCTAGAAATGTGTGACTTCTGAAACTAGGTCATTTGAAGATGCTTCAAGTTAGACATTGAATCACCTACCTTGGACTCTCTTGGATCCCTTCCTCTGGTGAAAGCTGGCCTCCTCTCCAGTGAGCACTCAAGCAGTCTGCTGGAGAGGCCCATGTGGAGCACTGAGGCCTCTCCCCCACAGCCAGCGCCAGCTGCCAACTGTGTGAGTGATCCTTCCACTCTTCTAGCATCCATCTGGGTGCAGCCCTGACTGACAGCTTGACCACAGCCTTATAGGAGGTCCTGAGTCAGAACAACCCAGATCCAAATTCTTGATGCATAGAACCTTGTGATAGCAGATGTTTGGCATTTTTTAAAAACACAACTTTATTGAGATAGAACATTCACACTGGACAACTCACCCAAGTAAAGCATACGATTCAGTGCTTTCTAGTATATCACAGAGCTGTGTGACCATTCCCACAGTTAATTTTAAGACATTTTTATCGTCTCATGGATAGAATTATCCGCACTCTCCACTTTTCTCCCAACTCTCTCAACCCTAGGCAACTGCCGATCTATCAATACTTTCTATCTGAATAGATTTGCCTTTTCTGGACTTTTCATACAGTATGTGAAAGAGACTGTCCTAGAATATGCGGCCTTTTGTCTCTGGCTTCTTCACTTTATGTAATGTTTTCATGGTTCGTTCACATTGTAACGTATCATAGCTGAATAATCCCTTCTGTGTGTGGATATACATACTTTATTTATCCATGTATCAACGTGGACGCCAGACTTTCCACTTTGGGGCTAGAATGC